CCTGACCCTTCATCCCCTCGGCTCGCCGTTGTGATATTGAAATCGAGTCCACACCCGGGCTCGCGTTTGACGCAAATTGAGTACAAAAGGCCTGCAGCGCGCGCGTGATAAGGAGTTCTGTGCATCTCTTTTCTCGCATCACGCATCGAAAGCCACGTCCCTGCACTAGGAAAAAAGAACTTAGTATCTCTAACAAAACTGTTTAGTTGAGGCATTTTTCAATAGCAATCAAATATCTCGTTTCATATAACAAAATATTTAGTTGTCTCAGCTAAGTATATTTTTCTGCTTTGTTCTCTGGACCAAATGATTTTGTTCTTAGACTTCGCATGTAAAAATTAAGCGTTTTAGTTATTTTATCGCGTGTGTGAAGTTGGCATCTCATTTGGCGGTGGAAACTCACAATCTGTTGAGAGTTCTGGCTTCTTTTTTAATAGTTCTGTAGTTCCTGATAGGTTAAACAAATAGTTACGCTAATTAAAGCGAAAAAACCGCTTCGGACAAACTGAGACGCCAACTTCACGCTGCGTCTCACTTTGGCCTACATGATTTCCGCGCCCATACATTGTGAGATTTTGTTAAATTCACAGTTTTACAAGAGTCTTATAAAGAGTTCTGCTCCATAAAAGCAAAAAGGAGTGATTATAATTAAGAAAGATTAGCGTAACTATTTGTTTAACCCATCAGGAACTGTAGAACTATTAAAAAAGAAGCCAGAACTCTCAATAGATTGTGAATTTCCACCAAATGAGATGCCAACTTCACACACTACGCTATTTTATCCATAAAAATTACATAATAACGAAATATTATTTTACATAAACTAAAATAATGCCCAGTGGATACTATTTTGTCTTTCTGTGCACTAAAAATTAGATTTTATATATTAAGAAAACATTACAGTATTTTTACACAAAATTCATATAGTTGAAGCTTTTTGGTTGCTGTAACAAAAGTATTACGTCATACGAACAAACCGTAACCAAACGAGATATTTGTTTACAGGAGCTAAACAGTTTTACCGGGCATATTTTAACCAAATTATTTTGTTGTTGCAACAAAATTTCAGTTCACGCAATAATACCTTTTTCCTAGTGTGCGGCGTTATTATTACGCTCAACGCTTCAACCCTCCGTCGTCGACGAAATCAAAGGAGGGGATTGATGCATTCTACTCAAAGAGGAAAATAAGCAAGCAGGAGCGACGAGATATCGATCGACCGCTCGGCGGAGAATCTCGGAAAGTTGGGCCCAATTCGGGGGCCTCTCGAAGAGCAAACGCCTTTCCGACGAAAGTCAGGGCGAAGAAGTCCCTTCTCGCGATTTTCGCGAGAGAGAGAGAGAGTCATTTTCCGCTCGACCCAACGCGCATGCTCCCCTTCGTTTTTCCGGCGCACTGGCGAAAAGCCGCATCGCGCGAAATTGCGCTCACGGCTGCGGAGTAACTCGCACTCGCCGCTAATTCGCGCAATGCGTTTTAAAGGCCAGCGGATAGAGCCGCTGAAGCCGCGCTAATGAGCTTTCGTCATCACCGAGCGATGAAGTGCACCGGCTGACGGTGGTGTATCGCGGCGTATCGCAATTCTTCCCTGCTCTCCGTGTCGTCGTCGGTTCGTTCGATTACGGAGTTATCGTCGAACTGAAGCCGGATCTCGCGTGATAAGACGAGAGAGACTTTATCGATTCGCTCGCTCTCCCTCGCGCGAGCGGCCTCAAGTATCTCGGGGCCTCCTGTTGTCTCGGCAGAAGTTTACACAACAGAACACCGCGATCGCGACTCTTCGAGTGAATTTATTTACAGCGCGCAGCAACACACACACACACACACACACACACACACACACACTCGACTCGGCTGTCGGCGATGCGAAATGTATCGCGCTTCTTCTACGGCCGGCAGAGATCGCGCTTCGGTGTTGGACGACGCGAGAAAATGAACGAGAGAGAATCCTCTGGGACTCGGAAATGTCGGTCGGATTAAGGCCGATTCTCACATGCATTCTTCAACACTCTCGTACTTCGGAATATTCGCATCTCCGGCGGAAAAATCTGTCGACGGCCCAGAAGACGCGCAGTGAGTAAATCGGCCTTAATCCGCGATCGCGCTCGAATTAAATGGATTGTAATGAAAGGGGCTGTAATCAAAGGGGCAAAGGGGGGGGACGAGAGAGGCGGAAGTTCGGCATACTTAGGCCCGGCGTAACCGCGGATATCACCGATACGACGGCGACCTGTTCGCTCGCACAAGTGCGAGTGGGCGTGCCGGTTTCCCTCCGAATACAAAGTTCGCTCGGTCCTTCTCGTCGCCGTCGTTGGTAAGGTAACTATTGTACTACGGAAAGCGTAACGCGCGTAACGTTGCGTGGCACGCGCGATCGAGCGCGGCTCCGACAACGAAGCGGAGCGAAACGCGCGCAACGGTGTCTCGCTGAGCGGCTCGCCGGGCTTTCGCGGCTGTTTGTAAATTCGCGTCGGTTCGTCCCGGAACTTTGGCCATTTGCGGCCGCAGCGCTCGCCGCCGAGTCCTCGGGAATCTCGCTAGATATTTCATTTTTCACACTTTTATATTTTGTTATTATATATTTTTTTATATATATATATATATTTTTTTTTTACACGAAATTATTCGAGAGATGGAAGAGAACGGCGAGAGACGACGACGAAGAAGGGGTCGCGAGATCTCTCTTGCTGGCAGGAGGCGCCTGGCAACTTTGTTTCCTCGAGCGGGCAGGGCCCGCCATTATTCGTGTAGCTCAATGTAAAAATGAGGCGATGTAAAAATGAGCGACGAGCTGGGTACTGGCACCGTTCTCGCGTCACCGTCACCGACGACGGTTACGTTTTAAGTGGTTACGCAATCGTGTTGTCAATCCGCGTTGACATCAGCTCCGCGCGGCGAGCGTAGGTGTGCCGAATCCGTGAATACGCGCGGGGTTCACGCACCGTTAATAAAATAGCGCGTGAAAGGACGCGCGCGTTCCCTGCGCGGCGAATGGGAATTAGGGCCGTTTTGCCGGGCGCACAATCGGCCGACAGGTGCAGCTAACGGGGACAAGGGCCCCGGAGAGAATTGTGTGATTACGCGGATACACGCGTAATCGACCGTTAAGTAATTCACATCCGCGAAAATCGCACGCTTCGTTTCATCTAATACAATCCCGGCGAGGGGGTCGTGTTCCTTTCGGAAGTGACCACACGGCCTGCTTTGGCCGCGCTCGTCTGCGATCTGAGATTTATTCTTCCGTCCGCAACGGGGATGCGATTGAAAATGCGCAGCCCGCCCGACAATTGACGACCAGCCACGCAGATTCTGCTAGCTTGCAGATCGCATCCTCGGGAGGTGTTATAATTTTATTCAGTTGAAAGTTGAAAGGACTCCTCCTAAATAACGCGATTTTCTGACTGTCGAGTTGGAAGGACGTCGAAGCTCGGCGGGCGTAGAAGTTTTCCCAGATTTCGATGCCTCGCGAAGATGTAGTTTCATTCATCTGAAAAAGATACAATTGCGTCAGTTTTCGCAAGGATTATAATTTCACGAAACGACACGCTCAGAGAGAAAGAGAGAGAGAGAGGAGCCTCATTTATTGAGCGCTCTGAGACTGAGTCCCCTCAAGCGCGAAGGCAGAAATTACAAAATAAAAGAACATTAAAAATATAGTTTACGAGAAGAGTAGATAATTAACACTGATATACAAAATGACGAAATTAATATAAAAAAATATATACAACAAAAGTATACAAAACCAGAAAGGAAAGTGTATATGCGTATTACGCATACACGTGTACTCGCATGTTCAAATATACACAAAATTTGTAAGGCGGTCGGGAAAGAAGTCGGCAGCATCGGTTGAGGTTCGAATGTGTGAGGCAAGCTCACGTTTGGTTCCCAGAGAGGAACTCTTATAGGACAGTTTTAAGTAATTGGGCAGAATTCGTGTTTCCGACTGCAACAGGTATTCCAGAGTGATGCAGCAGTGGCTCTGAAGGAGCGCTTAAATAATTCAGTTCTGTACTGGGGAATTTACAACAGGCCAAGAGAAAGAGAGAGAGAGAGGGAGAGGGGGGGGGGAAGTACCTTCTGAAGTCCCGAGACCCAATTACCGACTCGGCCGCTCGAGCTCTCGCCACTCCCTCGCGACTGAGGAATTCGATCGCACGGAGGAAATCAATCCGTACTTCGCTAATCGAATAATCAAAGATCCGACTTGTTCGCCGAGTCCGATATACAGATATATACAGAGAAGCCAGTATCTCGCTGCTTGACGCGCGCCGTATTTGCGGGCCGCGCAAGTTTCGTCGGAATCGATGACGCGCACAATGATCCGTTTGATCGGCTCCGTAATGCGGCACGCGAGGCGGACTTCAGGTCATTGATATGCGCGCGTGTGTCGCCGGCGTTGTCGTCGTCTCTCGCGATCTCCAGCCGGAGCGCATTGTGTCGCGACAAGCTTCGACCGCGCGCGGCATTAGATCGGATTCGGATCGTGCCTTAAGCCCGTGTCACACTACGGATTGAAGATTGAAATTTGACCGATCGGAATCAAGCAAATCAAACACCGAAGTTGGTTGATTTGTCGAAATCTAATCTTCAGTCCGCAATCCTTGATCATCAATCCGTAGTGTGACACGGGCTTTATCCCGACGTCGACACGCGTCTAATTCGAAAGCCGTCATCATATCGCTCCGTTTAGCTGGGCCGAGAGAGCCGTCTCTCCCTTCAGCCGCGCGCGGCTTTAATTACCGCGACGTCCGATCGTCGATGTTTATTAAGTTACGTAAAGGCGCCATTGTGCGATATCAATGTGCGCAAGCAGCGGAGAGAGAGAGAGAGAGAGAGAGAGAGAGAGAGAGAAAGAGAGAGAGAGAGAGAGAGAGAGAGAGAGAGAGAGAGAGAGAGAGAGAGAGAGAGACGATCGAGCAGCGGCACTGCTCGCGCTCGCGCGACGCGATTGCATTTTTAACCGTTATTTCATGCGCGACGGCTTCTCTGGTGTGTTGCAGGCGGAGTCCGAGGTCGCCGCCTTGAATCGCCGCATCCAGCTGTTGGAGGAGGACCTCGAGAGATCGGAGGAGCGTCTCGCCACTGCCACTGCCAAACTGGCGGAGGCCTCGCAGGCTGCCGATGAGAGCGAACGGTAAGTGGGTCGGGTTGACAATAATTGCGCGAGCGAGGATCCAACGATCTCGCCTCGCGCATCATCACCCACACGCACAATGAGCAATTATCCATCAAGAATCAAGACAGATAAACGTGTATAAATGAAGCAACGAATGATCGAGTGCCCCATTGCGCGAGTATCCGATGAATCGGTAACGTCGATATGAGACGACGCGAGTACACGAGAATGTCTGACGTCGCCAGAGCAGATCATTGCTCATTGTTTCGTATACGTACAATTTTTCTTTCATTCCGAGAACGACCGAGAGCGTGGAACACAGACAGTTGCAAATCGCGTCTATTGGATTAGGCGCTATTATAATTAGTGGATTTTTTTCTTTTTTCTTTTTTTTTTCTTTTTCTTATAATATTCCGTCTGCATAGCGATTCACAACGCCTTGCTCTCGATCGTTCCGTCGCTCAGTATCCCGTCGTAGTCGCCGTCGATGGAAGAGGAGCAATCCGACGGAACAATCATCTCCTCGGCTATTCTCCCGCGGCGTAATAACGCATCGATCTCGACGCAACGCGCGCCGGCAATTTTGCGCGAGACTAATGTCGCGAGAGAGCCGAATATAGACAGCCGAACGCGGCGGATATCCCCGCCGCGCGTGCGCGCGCGTGTAATTATGATAAACGCGAAATTACGATAATACAGCGCGGGAATTCGCGAGCACTACAATCGCGCGACGCGCGCCGATTTCGTCCCGCGGCCTTCGGCTCGACTGTGCACGCGCGTGTATTAAAGAAGTGGGCGTTTGATCGTCGCGAAAATGAGAGTAGACGTTGTTCGTCGGCGGATCGCGGCGTAATTTAACGAGACGTGGCTCGCGATACCCTCTGGCTCCCCTCTGGCAGACATGAGGATCCGCAGGAGGTCGAGCAGCACACCACATCCTGGCGTGCATTTTGCGGCGGTGCGCGGTGTCACATCCGCGGCGATAAGTCATTTCTCTCATGCTGCACGCGAGACGGGGATTTATTTCCCCGCCGTAGAATCGCGCCGGTATTGCTCGTTTTCCGATCCGTTGTCGAAGAGAGAAGGATTAGATATAAGAGTCTTATCTGCGGCAGATTCGAAGCGTGGTATCTTTTCTAGGAATTGCAGATTCCTGCGATCGATCCACTTGATTTTCGTAACGTGCACGGTCGCAAACGTCCGTACGCGAAAGAATCGGCGGGTGTGTCCCGGGCGGTCGGTTCCGTCATTTTGCCGGAATTATCGTGAAGATCGCGATTATCTCGTCGTGAGCAAACGCTCGAAACAACGCTTAAACTCGCTTATCGACAAAGGATGACGCGTATGCGCGCGTCTCGCGCTTCGCGCCGGTTGTACCTTTTGATGTTTTTATTTTCACGACGAGCCGTCGTCGGAGGTGTGTTTCGTCACCGATATCACCTGCATTTTCCCGCGAGTTTCCGACGAGTTGCGCGACGACGCGTCACAACTATCGTGGGAAAGGGGAGGGGGGGCGACCGAGAATCCGCATTCGCGTTTCCTTCCGAATCACGCTCTCGCGGAAAAGGAGTGTGATAAGAGCGACTCGACCGGCGATTAACCTGTGTTTCTAAAAATCAACGCTAGGATACGCAAGGCCCTTGAAAACCGCACCAATATGGAGGACGACCGGGTGTCCCTGCTGGAGCAGCAGCTAGCGCAGGCTAAACTGATCGCAGAGGAGGCGGATAAGAAATACGAGGAGGTGGGTCAACTACTGCGGCTCACAGAAGGGCAATGGTTTGCCCTTGGTTCCCCTTTGTCGGAGACAAGCCACTGATCGTCGGGACGTGCGGTTTAGTCGCTCGCAAGCGATTTGTCAGCGCGAGTCAACTTCTGCCGTCGTTCCTCCACTCACAATTGTTGAACAGAAAACAAGAGGATGGGAAAGATCTATTTTCGCAGAGACAAAATTTCGATTTCGATTTCATGGAAAAGTGAGGTGAAATTGGTTAAAACAAGGCGCGCATTTCAGCTGATTATTCGCGTGTTAAGTAATACCTTGAGTGTAGCGCTTGTTTGAAAACCTTCACGGCAAGTGGCTCAAGCAGAGATAAAATCTGGCTCTCAACGCGTACCAAGATGGCCGGCCTCGGCTATTCGATAAGAACGGCACGTGGGGCCTCCTCACGAGTACCAAGAATCGCGTCCGGCTCGGTCGGTGGTTCTCTCCCGAATCTCTCTCCTTTCAGGTGCAGTTTCACAGGTAGACGCGCGCGCAGGTGTGCGTGCACGCCGCCGTAGCTGAGCAGGGCGAAGCAGAGCGGAGCGCGGGGGTCGCCTCGGCGGCCCCGTCGATATCCCCCGATATCTCTGTAACTGTTAGAAACCTCCTCGAGCCCCGAGCTTTCGACTGATTTTTAATCGTGTACTCTTTCGTTCGACATGTGTCCCACCGTAAAGCGCCCGCAAGATTCTCGAGAATCGCAGCTTGGCGGACGAAGAGCGCATGGACGCCCTCGAGAATCAGCTGAAGGAGGCCAGGTTCCTCGCCGAAGAAGCCGACAAGAAATACGATGAGGTTCGCGTGCCCGCGACTGCTACTGTCAAGCGTGTTGGCTGCAGTGACGATGATAATCATGACGATAACGGTTCCTAGTCGATAGTCAAAATAGTGCCTAACCCCGTAACTCTCTGTCTTCTACTCTGTTGTTGTGTGCTCGCCAGAAGAAAACGACGTACCGCGTCGTCGTGCTTCGCGACACGCGACACAAGACGCGCGTCCTTATCCGCGTGAGAGAAGCGTCCGCGGGTTTTCGTCCAGGGGAGTTTTCATCCGGTTCGCGCCGCAACATCCGCTTGTGTTCGCTCGTTCAAATCCTCGACTCGCTCGCGGATCGATTGCGCGATAAGGCTTCCGCCGATCGTAAAAGGAAGCCGACGAGAGAAGCGAGAGGATCATCGTCGCGTCTCGCCGGCCGGCGCAGTGAAGTCTCGAAGGAGTCTACAAAGGGTAAACGAGTACCGTCGTGAATACCGATCTGTGATCATCGCGTCTACCTGCTCTACGAATGAGAGAGAGTGGTGGGGGGTGGCGGAGGGGGGGAAGAGTTGTCAGAAGAGAGTTTCTTCACGTGTATTCGCGACAGTGCAGTGTTTTTCACAAAGATCCTTCTCTCCGGCTTTTTTTTTTCTTTTTTTTTCTTGTCACTCGAGCGTAGAGAGAGGAGGTCTCGCGAGAGAATCGCGCGAGCAGAGGAGAAGAATACAAGAAAATGAAAGGAAAAATTGAGGGAGAGAGAGAGAGAGAGAGAGAGAGAGAGTGATGGGTGTCAAAAACGCGCACGACGATGCAGTGTCATGTGGCTTGGCGCGCGACTCTAACTCGTAATCTCGAATCAGATATCTGTGATTTCCGAGTGTTTTTCTTCTCGTTATCGGGCAGCCAAAAGACGTAGCGCGTTCTGAAAAAAAGAAAAGTGCCAGTTTCTTAAGATAGATTTCTAATGCCGTTGCTATTGCTCCTGTTGTTAGATATACATATATATATATATATATTTATACTGTTAGATGAGGTCCCGAGGTTGTGCGCGACCGAGTTCGGGGCTGGTTCGCAAAGAGAAAAAGCGCACGTGTCTAGTTGACACATAAAGTGCATCCTTCCGGTGGATGTGAAATAACGAGACAAAGACGGTCGGTCGGACAGAGAAAGAGAGAGAGAGAGAGAGAGAGAGAGCCGCGGCAGGCTCTCCGATTCTGACGTTGTCGAGAGATCGTCACTTGTGTTTGTGATAAAGCGACGCGAAAAGTCGCGTCAACGACAACAACAACGACGACGACGACGGTGGTGGTGGTGCTGCTTTTCTAGTGTGTCTGTCCGAGGACGTTCGTCTCGCTTCGCTGCGAGATTCGGAACGTGCCTCGAAAAATTAACGAGAGTCGTGACGTGGGAAGATGGTAGGTGCGGTCGCCGCGGCGACGTTGAAATTACGGTGATATGCGATTTTATTTCCTCCCGGGCGCTCGCGCGATACCGCCGGATAAGATATCGTCAGATTATTTAGACTCCGTGATTCTTTTCCGAACGTGATCGCGCGTGATCTACGGTGAATTGTTCGATCGCGGCAGCGTGTGTGACTCGTCGATCGAAATTACGGCCCATCAGTAATTGTACGAGACGAATTTTACGCAGCGAATAAATTCGCGGCAGCAACACGCGTCCTCCGTGTCCTTCGCATCTTTCTGTTTCATTTTTTTTTTCCCAGCTCTTTTTTCGCTCTGCGTTACTCCTGGACGGTTTTTATCGCGAGTTCGCGGGAATCGGCTTGATTTTGTGTTGAACGAACCGCTCGGAGAAGTATTTTCGTTATTATGCGGCGCTCACAACTGCGCGCGATACTCCGACTGAATTGGAATTCCTTCGTTCACCGTAACTTCAACTGATTTTATCTTCCTCGCCCGATGACGATCCGCTGAATCGTCTTTAATTAACAGCATACGCAAAACTAACCGAGCGCTCTGTATGTGTGTGTGTGTGTGTGTGCGCGCGCGCTATGCGAGTACATATGAAGCGATCACATCGCGATATCGCTCGAATCTCCCAGTTTACTTCGGTAGATTGCTCCCCTCCCCCGATCGACCGTTTTAACACCTCAATTAACGATCTGTCTAACTGTCCGCACATTATTGCAGAGATTTACCGAGACGACAGCAAGCTCTAACAGCGACAGCGAGTGTGTGCCGATGTGCCTTCGTTAATCTTTCGTGCATTTCTCTTGTTTCTTTCTTATTTTTTGCTCCCTTCACGCATGCACACGAGTGCGTGATGTCTTCGCGAAAGCGTGTCGCAGCTCTGTGTCGTGGCAAGCGATATCGGGACTCCACGAGTATCTTGAAGTAGTTGCCGCGCAATATTTCGCGATTTGCGATGCTAAATGCTCGCCGAGCGAGATTACAGAGTCGGAGCGGCGCGATGAATCAACATTCGCTCGGCGACGACTCGCATGGAAAATTCTCTCCCGGTCGTCGGGCGAAAAACTCTCGCGGAAAATTTCGTCTTTCCGCGGATGACAAGAACACTTCCTAGAAACCGAGAGAGAAAAACCGACCGTGGATCTTCCGGTCGGACTGCACTGTTTCACGTGCAAACAGTTTCGCTGAGCGCCGAACGAAGAAATTTATCGCACGGGACGGGCTGGTCGAACTAGGCGCACGAATCTCATGATTAATAAAATAAATAACAAAGAGTCCGGCGGCTTGCTACGACATGCTTGCGTCACGATTACGCGACAGCTTCGCCGCGTGAGTGAAAGATCGCGGTGGGACGGCGGGGACAAGTCGGGGAGAGCTGATGGGATACACGACGATAGGCAACATTTGGAATTTACGGCCGAAGGGAAGTCCTTCCGCCGTTCCGCCGCGATCTCTTCCTGAGCGATCGCGCGTCGCACGTTCGACCGATCGTTCAGTCGACTTCTCGACAGCGTGCCCGACTGGAAGAAGTTACACACCGCCGCCTCCGCGGAATCTCACAAGGACGCAAGGAGCAGCGAGGACACCTCGCTCCGTTTGAACGGACGAAAATTCGGAAATCATCAGCGCGCGGACGGATGACGGCTGTCGTCATATCGGGTTGCTCGCCGAAAAAGCCAACCCTCGATCTCGCGTCCTCCTCGTGCGGGCGACTTGATTAATAAATTGGTCGTCGTGCAATCGCGCGGGGCAAATTGCACATCGCGAAGGCGGCAAGAGAACATCGTTTGGTGGTCGTGGCTTTCCGAGGAAAGCAAGGGTGACCTCGTGCCGCGACCGTAACTCTTCCAATCGCGGTTACGACGATGACGTTGACGATGACGATAACGACGACGACGACGACGACGACGGTGGCGGCGGCGAGTCGCGCCTCCTCTCGCGTCGTCCGCTCCGCCTCGCGCTTTCGGAGGCGCTGCGAGGTCGTCGCGCGGGGAGGCCCCACAGTTAGAAACCGTGTATGTATGTGTCGTTTATACAGGTCGCCCGTAAATTGGCCATGGTTGAGGCCGATCTCGAACGCGCCGAGGAGCGTGCGGAGGCCGGAGAGTCGTAAGCATCGTTTTTATTAGCGGCGCTTTTCGCCCGCAGCGCGCGATCGAGACCCTCCCGTGTCCTCCCCCTCCTTCGTCTTCCGCCTTCCCCTCCCCCGCTCGGACCCTTTTTCCCCCCGGGCTCTGCGCTCCGTGGACTGCGAGTTTCGTCGCTCGCTCCCGTTTCGTCGAGCCCGCTCGTGAGACTTTTGACAGCACCGTTAGCCGGCGGAAGTACCCCTCCCCCTGCCCCCTCAATCACCACCCGTGCCCGTTAACTGCACGTTAACGATTTTTCGTGATTGTGTCGTTGAGACTGTTGTGCGTGCGTATGTGTGGACTGTGCGAATTAATATCCATCTCGCGCGCGCGCGCTCGTGGACGGCCAAGGTCGCGCGGAGAGACGTCGATGGCGCCTTGTCGTGGAAAAATAGTCACGTCGAGAGGCAGCGACGTCTCCGATCGTGGCTCTTCCACGACATATCTCCTGCGTCCGGGAGGAGCAAGGTGAAATTGCACCGCGTCGAGCTTTATTCGATCTGTTGCGCCATCGAGTGGAGCGGAAAGTTCGGCTTCGGATTTCGGAAGCGGAGTCGTCTCCGACGGCGCTGAATTTGATTATTGATGAGATCCTGTTATTATTTGAAATCAATGCGCATTATTAAGTTACTCGACGACTCAACGTTCCGGCAGCGGTCGGACGTCTTCATCGTCGTCGAAGAAAGCCTCGGACCGAACTTTCTGATTGGCACCGTCAAGGGTGCAGCTGAAGGACTCCAGGATCTCTCACTCGATTATCCGCACGAGTAATTAGAAGGGAACAATCGAGCTTGCCGATTATACTCCTGGACGCAGGTGTATGGTCTGATGCGTCGACGTTGTGCCGTACACAACGTACTAATTTTTTGACAGCCGAGGGGAGAAGCAGGAGAAGGAGCAGCGGACACGCTGGGGGGAACACCGTCGTCTCCCATGATGCGTTTGCATGCTAACAATTAATTTCTTTGTCTTACACCTTTTTTTTATCTCACACCTCCCCCGCGTCTCTCACCTTTGCTTTCGCGCATGACACGTGTGGCTGTTGATCACAGGTCGCCAGGAAACTAGTCATGATGGAGCAGGATCTCGAGCGTGCCGAAGAGAAGGCCGAGCTTTCCGAATCGTAAGTGCGACCACACGCATGTGTTCCTCACGTTTGCCGTCTCCTCTTTGTGCAATCACGACAAGTGCAAGTCGCTCGTTTCATCGCCCCGCTTCTTGCGTGTCGATCGAATTGTCGACGAACGTTTCGCTGCCGGCGGCTCTTGCTTCGCGGATCAACCAAGTTCGCCATTAGTGCACTTATCTAGTGTCGCGGCAACGTTTCGGTTACTCTTCATCTTCGTCGTGGTTGAAGATGGTCATGGTCATCTTCGAGCGGTCTGGAAAAGTCGATAAAATGTAAACTGTCGTTATCGGTTTATTCTTTATTTACATCGTCGCGGTCGTCATCTTCTCCCAAAGGAGAACTTTGAAGAAACCAAAGAAACTGTAGAATATCGGAAACGTTCGTCCATAAGTTTGACGCTTTCTCACGCGCGATCATCGGCGACTCCCCGAGTCGCGTCCGCCGCATTACTAAACGGTCGATTAACTTTTGCAGCAAGATCGTCGAACTTGAGGAGGAGTTGCGTGTCGTCGGCAATAACTTGAAGTCCCTCGAGGTCTCCGAGGAGAAGGTAAAAAGAAATGACTTATTTTACGCGCGACGAACAACACCACAATCGGAACGGAACGTACAATTCTTGACGGGACTTTACATTATACCTCCCCCCCACCTCTCTCTCCCGCCCTTCGATTGTATCTTACTTTGTATATCGCAATCCTCTCAAACTGCCGATTAGTGCCGCGCGTTTAACGCTGGAAAATTCTGCCGGGGAAAAAGTCACGTAGCTCTCGCGCGCTATCCGTGAGTTTGATTGATGAAACGCGCGCCGACAATCGCCGAGATTAATTTCAAGCCGAATCAATGAGCCGCGGAGAAACGAACAAACGTCACTCGCGCGTGCGAGAGAGAGAGAGAGAAAAGCGATATTAATCAGCGATTGTGCGTAGGCCAACCAACGCGAGGAGGAATACAAGAACCAAATTAAGACTCTCACTACCCGTCTAAAGGAGGTACACACATCCCCGTCATTAGGGAGTGTCTCGCTTTGCATTTCTTTCTAAATGCGTGAACCATCCCCCCGCCGAGCGCGTCTTGCCACTAAAAAGTATTAACTCGCGCGTCCTCCTTGTATGTTGTTTCTTTTTTTTTTTTTTTTTTTTTTTACGACTAAGCGTGTTCTTACGTGTCGCCGTGGGCTAACTAACGAGAGCTCGTTTTGTCTTTTTGTTGTGCTTGACTAAAAACAGGCGACGCAGAGGGAGGAGACGTTCGAGGGTCAAGTGAAGATTCTGGATAGCCAGTTGAAAGAGGTAAGCGGAGGAGCGCAGACGCGCGGGATTTACGATATCCTGGGGGGGGGAAAGGAGAGCAGGAATGTAAATTCGGGATAGAGATGAAGGGAATTCCGGTTGCTGCCGGAGAGAAAGAGAGGAAAAGATGTTGACCGTTGGGATGCATCGGGAATATTTATATAGTGCAAAAGCGATAATTTCAGATTGCGCGATAATATTCGTATGAGACAATAGATAACCGCGCGGAGAAGAGAGTAAACTGATCGCTCGCTCTCGCTGCGAGGCAAGCGTAAAAACGTAAGAAAAACAAAGTCATTCACGCAGAAAATAGCCGGGAGCGTCCTCGTGAGAATGTCCGACTCTGTCTCTAGCTGAGATCCAACTTGGTGAATCGCATCACGAGGTATGACGAATCGCGCACGGTATTAACATTGTCGTGAGTTTCCTCTCAGTGACTGCATTGGTTCGAAATAATAAAGCGCGCTGTTCCGCTAATGATACCGTATTAATAATAATCGTGCTGCAGCGTACACGGTGTGTCGCAACTTAACCTTCTGCAGTCTCGACTTGGATGGATTCTCCTAACGCGACTGCGCGATCGTGTGTGTGTGTGTGTGTGTGTGTGCGTGTGACGTGGAATTTTTCTGTCTCACTTGCATGGAGCTTTGATGATATATACCGAGAGACAAGATGTCTGAGAGATGAAAATATTTATTCGATGAGCGCATATTTGTATGCTTCAGAGTCCAAATACCTTCCTCAAAATAATTCCTTTTTCAGTGTAAAAATGTGTCTGTTATTAATGCGAATAAATATTTTTGTTATTTCTCAGTTATCTTCTCTCACAATCGAGTCGATCGACGAGATTTCAAAATGAAGAAAAGAGTGTGAGAGTCAAAGTGAGTCATGAGACTCGCGGCGGCGCAGCACTTTTCTCTTTTCTTCCTGCTGAAATCCACGAGCGATCGCACGTGGAAGTCATGCAATTCCACCGTCTAACGAACCGTTGCGTTTGCGCAGGCTGAGGCGCGTGCTGAGTTCGCGGAGAGATCCGTGCAGAAGCTCCAGAAGGAGGTTGACAGGCTCGAAGGTGCGTATACATGACACGTGCGCGGCAACGTTGTCACTCGAAATACCGATTCCACTCGGTTCTCGTCCCTCGTCGACGATCACGATTCCTTTTTATCGAACTCGATTAAACACCTTGCGTATAAATCCGTCGACCGGTGCGCGCAGACTTCCCGACAACGATGATTTTATTTTCACCGGATGGAAAGAGAAAGAGAAACACGAGCACATCCGGAAGCATTAGAGCAAAAATAGAGAAAAATCTCCGGAGAGAGGGAAGGAAGGGAGCGAGCTTCGAGTATAATACCCTCGGGAGCGATTGCCTCCAAGTAACTAGGGTTTCTTTTAGCCGAAACGATCGATAACGTGCGCACTCGAAAAGGTTTGCAGCTTGACGACTCCTTCGTCGTCAAGTCATGTTGCGTCGAGCCAGACTTTCTCCAGAGACTGCTCGATCATTCTCGCCCGAGATCGCTAGAGTTACGTGGTGGAGAAAGAATCTCCTTCTTCTCACCCGACTTATCTTCGACAATCGTAAAGCAGAGCGCCCCCACACCCTCGCTGTGCGTGTGAGTGTGTCTGCTGCCGTGTTTCTTTGCGCATTTGATGACCCACCAACTCTAACCAGCCCTGCCGAAACGCAGCGTGTGCCTTGCCCGGTGTGCCCTGTGTGTGCGTGTGTGTTACTGTGCCCTTTAACCAGTGATCTTTGCAGACGACCTCGCGGCCGAGAGAGAGAAAAACAAATTGCTGCAGGAGGAGATGGAGGCCACCCTGCATGACATCCAGAACATGTAGATCATATTTTTCGCGCTGGACAAAAACGCGTGTAACCGCGTCAGAGAGAGAATGTGTTTTAGAGCGAACATCCGGCGAAGTATAAGCAGATAGGTAGAGGAGCGGCAGAGAGAAAGAAAGAGAGAGAGAGAGAGAGAGAGAGGGGAGGGGAAAGAGAGAGACGGAAAATGAAGGAAAAGCGCGAACGTAGAAGATAGATAGAGAAAGAGAGAGAAAAATGTACGGACAGAGGAGAATGAATGAGAAATAAACACGCTGCACGGCAGCGGCGGCGTGAGCGCTTCGTGCGCGGTGCACACCTTAACATTAACGGAGAAAAATGTAGTCTTTAGGCTAGCCTTATACTCTCCATTACGTCCATCCGCGGTGTATGTGCGAATGCGTGTGTGCGTGTGCGCGTCACGTGCCTGTTTGTACGTACGCGATGCGGGTTAGAGACTGACATAGGACGCGAGAGAGAGAGAGAGAGAGAGAGAGAGAGAGAGAGAAAGGGAGAGAATGAGCTAGTAGAGAGAGAGAGAGAGAGAGAGAGAGAGAGAGAGAGAGAGAGAGAGAATGCGTGTGTGTATGCGCATGTGTGCGAGAAAGAGCGAAGAAAATGCAATACGAGAGAATGATAGTGTACGACAGAGGAAGAGAGAACGAACGCGTGAAATAGAGGGAGAGAATGAGGAAGAGCGGATCGTACGCGCGAGACAAGGACAGACGGCAGGATGGTCCCCGTACGAAGTAATATGAGTTATTTGTAATCTAAAAATCTTGACCTTAGCTCTAGATTTTAGCTTAGTCCGCCCGTAAATTTTAATTCGAGGAGAATAAGGAGACAAGAGAGAAAGAAAACAAGAAAGATCGCGAGGCACGCGAGGCGTTATTTCGGGCTCGCCGTGATTTAGATTCTTCGTTTACGAAACATTACTTGGCCGTGGGAGGAGTACGCGAGTAAAGGATAAACTTTAGTGATAGAGAAGGAGACAAAACGGACAACGGATTGTTCTTGCGTTCGGAGAGGAGAAGGAGCAGGCAGAGAGAGAGAGAGAGAGAGAGAATGAAAGAGCGAGTGGATGAAAGAACGAATTTCCTCGAGCGCGCCTTTTTGTCTTACGTGTCTAAGAAGTTGTGTAAGAATACCAGAGAGACAATGCATTATGCATTATCGTGTCCCGCACGATGTATAATTATAACGAACTTTTAGAAGTGACTTTTACGCCGATGCGAAACGCGAGCTTCGTTTTTCTTCTTTTTATCCTTCAGTTGATTTTTTTCATCCAGTTTCTCTCTCTCTCTCTCTCTCTCTCTCTCTCTCGGCGCAAGAGTGCGATGACACGTAGAGCGCGTTGTCGCGTTGCCGCTCCTCAATTCGATTCCTCGAAGGTGGGTGACAGAGTGCTCATTACTTTTCGTCGCTTTACATTCCGCATCCATGCAAGCTCAGCTCGCACGAGAAGATGAGATCCGCCGGCTCGCCTCGCTCTCGTCCGGGTCTCCACAGGTACACCCGGAGGTAGGAAAGAACGCGTTACATCGATACTTCTCATCGATGAAGGCGAAGACGACAAGTTTTTAATAACCGTGCATTTAAGACTAATCTCACTGCCAGCGACTTTTATTTTTCAAAGCGTGCTCCCATCCTCTCGTCTTTGCCTTCGTCGTTTGCGCGCGCGTTTTTTAATTGACGAACGAAATCGAATGCACTCCGACACATACAGACACCATAATCCGGACCTTTGAACTCGTACAACCGACAAGGAGAGAGAGAGAGAGAGAGAGAGAGAGAGAGAGAGAGAGAGAGAGAGAGAGAGAGAGAGAGAGAGAGAGAGAGAGAGAGAGAGAGAGAGAGAGAGAGTCAGTCATATCGGCCTACATATGTAAAATGACTCAATACACACAGACGCGTTGACACAATGGACACGCACTAATAGAAAGCCTAGCAAAGGAGTCGATCGAAAAACACGAGCGGAGAAGCGAGTTTGTCTTTTTTTTTTTTGTTCCTACACACGTCAGGCTGCAGCGCAGCTTCCCGTGCCAGCTGAGCCATTCGATATTATAATTACCGATCGTGCCTGTATATATTTACTATATATAAAATACTAACCACGGCCAAAATACACTATACGAACCTCGACGCAGAGAACGTGCTTCTCGTTTTGCGAATGTGCGCGCGACGGTAAACAAAAAAAAAGAAAAGATAAAGAGAAAACGAGATCGAGAATGAACAGAGAGAGAGAGAGAGAGAGAGAGAGAGAGAGAGAGAGAGAGGAATCAGTTTCGTCGAAACGGAAATATACGTCCGATCTCTTCCACTTTGCGGCGCATAATAGCAGTACGCCTCTAATTACTATTACTATTAATTAACGGTTATTGTTAATATTTACCGCTACCCCACACGCTCGCCATCGAACGAACATTCCGCCACGATTATCCGCGCCAAGGAATTCTCTCTTCCGGGTTTCTTATTTAACTCCTTTTCTTTTTCCTTCGTTTTATTTCGTCTTGCCTTCTAACATTTTTTTTTTCCATTCCTTTTTCGATAAAGCGTCGCGCACGTATACTGCCCATGCTTTCCCTTCCCCCCCCCGCCCCCGCCCCAGAATGACTCTCCGCGATGTCATGACCCTTCATGGTTATTCTTGTATAACATTTTTTCCGCGACGTATTCTTGGATGGCCTTTCGATGTAGCAGCAGCGATGGCATTGCGCATCGTTCTCTTCCCCCGTCTGTTTGCCGATCAGAGAAGAACGCGCGTAAACGATCGGTGCCGCGTGTGACGATCGAGCGGTCATAATGATACGAAAAAGCATCCCGCCTTTTTGCGAGAAGGAACCGCGCGCTTCGATTTGGAACGGCTGATCTTTCGCCCAAATTTTTCTCTTGTAACGCGAATCGATATACGTGTACAATATACCTCGCCGATACAATTGTGTAGTACTGATGATAAAAGTATTAATTGTTGTGACTTAAAAAATATTTTTTTTAGTTTCCTTTTTTTTCCACGCGATCGAGTGACTTTTTGTCATCGTGTCGATCGTGTCGAATCGATCAACGCACGGCCGATCGGACCGTCTCGAGTCCTTCTTCTCGTAAGATCAATGTTCGTATAACTGTTTACACACAATCTCACGAAGAAATATATCGAGAAGAAGTAGAAGACGACGATGAACAGTGTAACGTGTACGCGCGATCGTCGAAAGGCCAGCCGAAGAGAGACAGAGCGCGACCGTTTGTTCTCCGATCGTTGAAAACTATCCGACGCGAGAGTGAGCGTTAATTGTTGAGAATGAAGAAGAACCGAGTGATAGAGAGAGAGAAAGAGAGAGAGAGAGAGAAAGAGTGAGGTTCACAAAAAGCACAATTACGAGACTACACATGTCCCATCCCCCCCTCCCCCCGTATCGTTGATTTTTGTTACGTCCCGTTTTCCTTTTCTTCCTTGCGAACGATACTAAAAAAAGAAAGAAAAAAGGCAATTGCACTCAAATACTTGAATTTACGAGAGTTTTAGTTTATTAATTTACTTAATATTAATGAAATGAAAATGGAATAAGTATGAACTAATATCATTATGTAATAATATAATGATTATTATTATTATTATATATATATATATATATTACTATTATAAAACTGTTTATAATATATATTTTAATTTTGAAAAAAGAGTGTGTGTTGTGTTTTCTGTTGTTTGTTCTAATTTCTCGTCGTTCTGTGCTGTTCTCTCACCCACGCTAATCGATCGATTAATCCGAGCCGAGTCCCGTTAAAACGTAACGAAGATGTAATCACCCCCTTCCGCGCGATAACGCATTGTTGGTGGCCGCCCCGCTGTTGTTACACGTAGCGCAGTATATACCGATGATAACAGTTGCATGACGAAGACAAAACAGCAAAGTGTGTGTGTGTGTGTATGGTACGTATATCTCAAGTTTACGGTGAGTAAATCCGCTTACGTTATATCCGATTTTCGCTAATCTCGATAATCTCGCCCGATGCATGAATCCTCGCAGACTTCACGATTGTCTACGATCATCCGCCACTCTCTCGCGATCGCACGTTACCTCTTCGGACAATTGCTCATTATTTCGAACTGTTATCGAGAAAGTAGACGCAGTTTCCGTATCGGTATCGGCCAGCCGCGTTATCTGCGTCCGCTATCGTCGCTCTCTATCGATATCACATCGTAAGAAAAAAAAAAAGCCAAAAAGCATTTCAGTACTTTTTACGCGACCGATGACGATAGTTTATCCGAGCTCGACTATCGCTTTGATTAGTTTGACTATATTTTCTTTCCTTCTCTCACCTAACGACTTTTGCTCGCTGCTGTCCCGCTTGATCGATCCGCCAACCATGCGGCTGCTTCTTCACACTCGCACGACCTTGACGACAACGACAACAACCCGAGGAAATTCTCACGTCTCTCTTCGACGCTTCTTTTGCACTTCGAGCACTTGTTCGCACTCTTCCACACACTAGTAGACAAAGTAATGAAACGAATGGCCATCGCCTATAACGTATTGCGAATACTTGCAGATGAGATGGTGATCGAGAAGGAGAAGTTCAAGGAGGTCGGGGACGGCCTGGATTTGGCATTCTTCGAGCTCTACGGCGTCTAACCTAAAGCGGCTGCTGCTACTAACCGTCCTCCTACGCCTCTAACGCTTCGACGAACCGAAAACATGCGAAAAGCAAAAAAAAAAAAAAGAGAAAAAAAGACAAAAGAACGGAATCGAACACACCTATCTCTCTCATACAAATCTAGCTTGCACTCCTAACACATACGCCGTAAGTTGCCCATTTATGCTTCTTTCAAAAGCCCGCTCGCTGCTAATAATAAATAACAACCACTTTGCTTTTCCTCACGTCCGCCGCGGGAGGAATTTCTCGTCTCGTCGCGTTCCGAGCGAGCCCGCGAAATTCCACTCTCGCGCGTCGCTCGGAACCTCCGCGAGGCTGCGTCTTGATAATCGATTCAGGTGCTAAATTCGTAGAGACGCGTCGAGGTATATAACCGCTAAGAGAGAAAACGAAGGATTTATGATTCGTGCTTGTGCTAACGACGTGACGTTTTCTTGCAGACGAGCTCGTCCACGAGAAGGAGAAGTACAAATACATCTGCGACGACCTGGACCTCACCTTCACCGAGTTGGTTGGTTAAATCGGCTGTCAGATCGGCCGTCGAGGCGCCGTCCGTCCGCTGTCGAATCACTTGGCGGTACATCGCATCGTGATTTCGCGCGATTCGATCGCGGCCGCAGCCGCGACAACGGCCCGCCGATAATACATCGCCGATCGAACATTTTTGTTAACGTAACTAAAGTCTGCGTACGCACATTGATATTATTATTATTATTATTATTATTAGCATCATCATCAAAATACGTTCCGCGTTCAGAGGCTCTTTCTTTCCTTTTTTATTTCAACCGACGATTCCGCGACGCACCTCTTCGGCTTGCTTCAACGTTCGTTCGTTCGTCCGTCTCGAGAACATCGCGCTTCTCTCACGCAAAAGTAAAACTCTCCAAATTACCAGCGACAATTTCTAGTCATAGCCAGCAAGTGTCGCGTTGTCGCGTCGATCGGCACGGCATCGGGCGAAGCCACGAGAGGCGGGGGGAGACCCTCGCGCCGCCTGAAAATCGTCGACACTGCGACTCTTGTTTTCGAATATTCCACAGAGGAGAACAAATAAAAAACATGAACATAGAATCTTGAAAGATGCGTTGCTGCTTTTCATTTCATACACACTTGACGCCGCTCTCCCTTTGCTCCCCTCACGAAAAATCTCTCACTCGCGTGAGACGCGCGTTTCGGTGGAGGGAAGTTCACCTCAGCACCTCACCGTCCGCTTTCCTCCCCAAAGTCGACGTCGAATTTTCCCCCTTTCCGAATCAACGCGATCCTCGAGCTTCCACGTGAGAAATCCTACTTGTCTCTCTCTCTCTCTCTCTCTCTCTCTTTCTCTGTACTCCAAGCGTGCTCTGTTTCTACTTTCTGCTTGGAAGCCACCCGCTATGGCCGTAACGCTCGTCCCAAAGTCGAGGAAATAATACGCCCTCCCGCTATCGAGCATAATGTGTCAACTGTTGAGAATGTGCGCTTCCTGTATAATACATGAATGTGTGCGTGTCTCTGGCTCTCTTTCTCTTTCCAATCGTAAACGACCACGTTAAAATGTACCGCCGACTAACCGTACCACCGTGTGTCCACTAATACCGCGTTTCCCGTCCTTCTCATTGCAGACGTGCTGGTAAACGAGCGCTGTAAGTACAAAGCGATCGCCGACGAGATGGATCAGACGTTCGCCGACCTCGCCGGATATTAGCAGACCGGCTAAATGCGTCATACGCGGCCGGAGGGCGGGAGGGAGGGAAGGGTGTGTGAGTGTGGTGCGTATACGTGTGTGTTCCACGCAACACATACACACACACACAGCAGAGGCGGAAAAGCAACCGAAAAGATGAAAAGACACACACACACACACACACACACACATACATACAAAGGAGAAGAGGGAGAGAAACACCGAGAAAACAGAGATTGTTTCACGCTACAATAAGGTGACACTGCCAGCACGCGGACCCTTCGCCACAACAATATGTCGTCCGATATATTTAGCATTCCACATGTTACGCGGTTAAAAAAGAGAGAGAGAGAGAGAGAGAGGAAGATAGAAAGAGAGTCGTCGACGTCGAGGATGGGGAGCACGAGAAGAGGAGCAGGAGGACGAGGACGGACGACCGCCGACGTTTCCGTTAGCCGCGTGACGCGAACTCTTCGGACGGGCCTGGACTCGACGAGAAGAGGGTCCATCTGGCCGGGAAGAGGAGCTCGTTATGCGCGCGTTCAAGTCTCCGGAGTTCGCGTCACCGAACCGCCGCTTGCGTTTGTAACGGTACCGATTAAGCTTCGATTCGCATTCACAGCTGGTCCCGTCTTCACCGCCGCATCATTAGGACGTGATAAGTTTCCTTTTTCATCCCTCCACTTCATTTCGCACTGACCGCACATTCCCCCCCCCCTGTCCCGCTGATGATACATATATACAGTTACCGTATCGAAGGTCGCGCGAGACGCCGTTTCGCTCAAGAGAGACGCGCAACGTGGGCGACGTTCACGTCGTTCGTGAAAGTCGCCTCCTCTCGCCCGCCGCGCTCGTTTTCACGATCCGATCTTCCGCGTCGACAAGTCCGAATGGCCTTAAACGCGACATTCCAGTTCGTCGTCGTCGTCGTCGTCGCGACGGCAAGTTGTGTTCAGAGTTCAGCAGTTTATAAGCAGGAAGGTACGCGACGGGCTCTCCGTGTGTCCTCTTTTTGATAATTCTATCCATTTGTACCTATCGTGTAAAAAGTATGAACTTGAAGAAACGGCAAGAACGTTATCGCTATCATGGGCACCATTGGACGATCAGTCTAACGCGCGTAGTAATAGCGATTTAGGTTTCCGGTTTGTAAGATCTCCACTATAAAGGCGGCGTAAACCGACGTTCTGTCGGCTGAACTGAGCGAACACACACGATTCGACTCGGCGGAGACTGTTTTTTTTTTCTTTTTTTCTTTTGCCTTTTTTCGTTCGTCTTCTTCTTTCACTCACTCGCACATTTCACCGATACGTACGATTAGGCAGTGCGGTCTAATTAATCGATATTAAGACCTGAGTCTCTCTTCGATTCGCATCAACCGATTGTATCATTCATTCCTTCGTGCTTGTCTATGTTGTCTATCGTGCAATACTGTGTCAAAGTACCGATCAATCGGCCGGTCGCTCTCCCGCGGCAGGAGGCGCCTCGCGAGACGAGAGTCGAGCGAGACATCGGTGTTGCATCGTTGTGCCGCATCAAGTTGCTTCTACGATGCGGACGAAAGTTTGCAAAGCGATCTGGGCTGGATAACCACGACGCGAGGCGGAGCTCGAAAACGTATCGGATCGGGAAGTCGATCAAGTTCGATATACGTATACACACACATATACACACACATATATATATATATATATATATATATATATATATATATTACGGCTCTCTGCGTACGCTTGAACGTTGAAAATTTTCTGTATCTCATTAGTCTTTGATCCTCGCGCGAGAAGAGAATCGCGAGAGACGGCCAAAAATAACGCACGCATACGCGCATAGTAACGGTGACGGTGGATGATTGACGATGATAAAGACGAGGTAACTCAATCACGAGATGGACCAAGCTCAGAGACTTTCAAACACGCACTCGATGCAGCGATCTTGACTATCTTATGTGATAATTATTATTTTACTGTATTTATATTACTTTCTCAATAAATATTGCATATTTTATATCTCTGCATACACCGGATGTCTTATTCCCGAGTCGCCAGCCGATATTAATTCGTCGTAATGAAAACCGATCGAGCGGCGGATTGTTCATTGCTTTGCGATAACACGCCGAATAGCGACCGACGTCGGCGTCGGAATTTCAGCGCGGCGCAAACATTCCAGCGACTTCGACGAATACCGTCCGACGCGTGATCGCGTCATCGCCGCGATGTCTCGCATATTTCACGCGCATGAAACGTGCGTCCTTGCGAACACTCGCGTTCCTGAGATAACAAGGTGAGATGTGTGAAAAGGGAACGAGACCGCTCTAGTTTTGTTCGCACTGATAGACTTCCTCGAGCGAGGAGGTCTCGTCGACGGAGGGGATTGCGTTCGGCGATAAATAAATAACGAGGCACAGACTCAAGGTTTACATAACATACACATGTTTCATTATTTACGATTCGATATTATAATAGAATATTATCTGTCTAAACACAACGCTAACATATACTTCTGTATGTTCGCAGTGAAAAGTCTGCCGTATAAATCCTTTCTCGTCAGCGATCTAATAATTACAGGAGTGCTGAGTTGTAACGTGTTTCCAAAAAAATATCGATTCTCTCTCTCTCTCTCTCTCTCTTCGCTCGTACATATATATATATATATATATATATATATATATATATAAACGAGAGCCAACGGAGACGACGCGCGCGTGCGACGGACGTGAGTTCTACTTACTACACGACAGCTTTACACACACGTCTCGCCGTCCTGTGCATCGCGCGACGCGCTTCGTCCACGACGGCGCGCATATAATGACATCCGTGTCTCTGTTCAGGTAAATACGATGTTTCGTCTCTGAGGAACCACTTCGATATCAAGCGTGAACGATTACCGATTTGGAGACACAATAATGTTCGTTGAAAGATAAAAGATGTAGAGGAAAGACACTGCCAGGAAGCATCTCGTGACGGCGACGCGACACGTCTCCACGGTGTTCCACACCGCGTCAATTTAAAATCGACTATCACACCCTCGGGAGTTTAATTATTAATGTAAAAGGGAAAGAAAAGATTAAAAGAGCGACGAGCCGTGCAGTCGGCGTCGTCGCGCGTGCTCGCGCGCGCGTTGAACGACGCGACGCGGCGCTGGCATAAAACAGTTCAATCTTCACTTCGGCGCAGCGATTTTAAAAAAGATCCTCGAGTCGCTCGGTAACCTCAGATACGCCGGAACTTAGACTTAATAAATATTACGTAAATGCAATTTCAGAGAACAAGTTGCGAAGCTTACAAGGTGGACCGTACGAGATACAAGAGGAAAACAAGGAAACTTAAAAGCTATGCGATAAATGTCGGTTAATTGTCGTTTAAGCGGACACGGACGACGACTGGTTGAATTTACGAATACTTAACGATCACTTTCGCGCTCCGTAGTTAAAGGAAGAAGAGGAGAAGGCAAGGCACTTGCGTGGTCCCTGTGTTATCCCGATCGATTTCGTCTTCAAGATTATTCGTGTAAAGGGCGAGTAAAAATGCGCTTCTGAACGTATTCTCCGTACGATAAATATTTGCTCTTGCTCCCTCGGTTACGCTTATCCCGACGCGGTGCGGTCTCATGCATTTATCTTTATGTTATAGTTAAGAAGATGAAAAAAGACTTTATATATCGCTATTAAAATCAACAGCCTGTATACGTAAGGCACACTTTTTACGCCGTTTCCTTTCGTTTCGGTTGGGAAATGCCAAAAGGAAAATTTGTTCCTACGTTTCGTTAGATATAGACATAGATCGGATATTATCACGGCTAAGGTAGCTACTCTGTGAACATCCTCGAAGAAAGGAAGGAAGGCTGGAGGAAGATAAACACGAGAAGAAACGGAACAGACAACGAAGAACGCAGCGGCTACAAATGCAAAACGATCAGGAATATACTGAAAATCTGACTGACGCGTTAGAGTTTTGCAATCGGACAACAGGTAACGTAAAATTCTCACACACCAGTAAAGAGAATAAATGATTAACAAATACGAGCGTGACGAAACGGTGGTTCCAATCATTCGAGCGACTTGACGCCTTCCGTCAAGTGACTCTTCTAACTCGCATCTCACGTAAACTCACGATTGTAAGCTTCGAGGAGGAAAACATCGAGACGAAGGAATGACGATCGCGCGATTTCCGATAACGTCGAATAATAACGAAGAAGAGAAAACAAGTGATACTCTTTGTACAACAAGTGTGCGTCGCGAGAGAACGACGCGTGCTTTCTCTCCAGCCGATTCTCCCTGATCGTTGCACGTTTCTCGGCACTCGTGAACTCACTCCACAAGCCGTCAGCCAGTTTGTTTTCTTTTTTGCTCTATACTCGGCACAATTTATCGCAGTTGTATGGAGTTTGGTCCCACCATGGAATTCTAATGTATAAGTGTTTGTATGATGTGTGTGTGTATGTGTGTGTGTGTGTTTGTTTGTTTGTATATAAAACTATACGTATATTGTCATTTTGGAAATCAATTGCGAGAGTACTCGCGCGCGCGTGAAATCCCCCTTCTCGAGAGGTTCGTTCGTAAGAAAAACGGCAACTCTGGCGTTTTTCTTCATTCCACTCATCGTACTTCGAAAGCTCAAGTTTGTCCAAACAAACTTCACGGTCGAATTTGGGTGAAAGTGCCGAATGTCATTCTACCGATTTTTGGGAAGGATCAATTGCACAGACGACGACACAACTCGTCGTTTCGATCGCACGAGTAACCTCGCAAGTAACAAGAGTCAAGTATTAGAAGCCCTATCTCGAGTATTGTATCGCGCATCTCGTTTAACGCCGGCTCTCCCTTCGGCGAGAGCGCCCCGAGCCAAGTGGTGGCGGCGACGATTTAGCGGAAGCTCGACGTGGAAGATGTTCAAATCTGCGCCGGCTCGACGTAATTAGCGGGTAGCATGCCCTGCCGTCCCGTGCGCTGCACCAACCCGGTCATCCAGCCCTCGTCGATGGCTGTGCAGTTGACGATCAGGTCGCCGTCGTAGAAGCTCACCTCGTCCAGGTCTTGCGCCTCGTAATCGTATATCGCTCTGTATACCCGCTGCGAGAAATGCAAAATTATACAATTAAAATACGCCTCGAACTTTGCCATATTTTTATTTATTTACTTACTTATCTAATCGAAAATGAATCGCGATCCTTTCGACAGAGAAGAAAAGAGAGAAGCGAAATTTTATCGAATAAAGAAATGAAGATAAAATAAGAGGAAAAGCTACAAAAAAAAAAAAAAAGAAGAAGAAGAAGAAGAGTCTCATACACGACACGACGGAAGCTTTTGCGAGCAGAAGAAATATGAAGAAAGAGGAAAAAGCGTTTTCGTGCAGAAAAATCTCGCAACTCGGATTATCCTCTTCTTTTAGTCGTGCGTGAAATATTCAAATTTATTCTTGTCCTTTATTTATAATCGCGCCATTATCCTTTGTCGTCTCTAGATGGGTCATAAAAAATGATTCTTGCAAGTCCCCGACTGCCCTGTGAATCGTAACAAGTCACAATGAGCGACACATAATGTGACAGATAATTACCCCAACGTTGGAAGGCGGTGGCGGCGGCGGTTGATGCTGAGAGACGTGATTATTGTTCGTAGCTGGCGTCAGCGATCCGTAGTACTCGTTCACCGGGTCGATGTCGGCGACCGAGCCGATTTTCCGTGTCGGTGGATTCGTCACTGCAACGTGCACTCAAGTTAATACGCAACGTAGTACGCAGGATTGCGCAAGAATCGTCGTCCTCTGCAACGCGAACGGAACGGGCTTGTTGTTCGGAAGCTTCGGCGATCAGGCGATCAGGTTAAGGCAGAGAAACACGCAAAGCGGCGCGCAGGGTACGCTAGACGAAGACGATCGCGGCGCTTTCTATTCTATTCAGCTTCAAGGCGAGCGAATGATTCCGTCCGCGTTGATGAATCGCGCGCGGCTAGATGACGACGGCGCCGACAATGGGATCGCGTGCGCGATCCTGAGACAAAAGGAGAGACCACGAGGAGAAGGACAGCGATAGATAGAGCGCGCAGCCCGGCCGCGCGACTTAAAGGTGCTGATGAAGCGGCATCGGCAGGCGACATCGCGATCCGAGAGCGTAATAACCCCGGCGTCACAATAGCGACGGCCCAGGCGTAGTCTACCATAAGCAGTAATCCAATTACTATCTCGGTATCTGCCGATCTAAGTGCGCGCATAGAACGGCCATCCCACACGCGCGACCATCCCTCTATAAATCGTAGAATGCGGCCGGTAGAAGGAGGGAGAGAGGATAGGGGGAGAAAGCGTCACAATGGGAAATCATCGTGATCCTGCATCCTCCTCCTCCTCCTCCTCCTCCTCCTCCTCCTCCTCCTCCTCCTCCTCCTCCTCCTCCTCCTCCTCCTCCTCCTCCTCCCGTTCCGGCCCTCCGTGTTCGGATCTTTCACGAATCTCAATTGCTAATCTAACGCAACCGGATACATTATTACCGGCGCGCGCACGAGCGCGGAGATATATCCGAGATTAACTTCGACTACCAATTACGTCGTCGATCACGTTAAAATTGAATTACAGCGCGCGCGCAGCAAGGGAACAATGTTGCGTGTCCCGTATGCGTAACTGAATCACGCAAGTCGCCCGAATACGTCTTAATTAACACGACGGGCTGCTGAACTGTGGCCGCCGATTCCGGACACTTTTGACGCGACTGCACGATCAAAATGAACTTAGGCTACGTTAAAAAGTGAAAATTAAATTAATTTATCAAAGTAAAAATCTGCGGATGTTAAATTCATGCGAGATAATTTGGAAGTCTTTTATAAGAAAATACCGGCTGTTTTGTACTCAGAAGTTTACACAAGACGAGAATTTGCAACCTGGTATTCAGAGAGAGAAAAAGAAAATTGTTTACTTGCGATTTGTCACGTACTCTACATTTTTATACCTAACTCTGATTATTATTAAACTTATAATCCCTTTCTTGCGTCGTCCTAAAGATTAATGTTAGAAGAAAAAGAAAAAACCCGATAACAATTTGACATTATCCTGAAGAAATTGTTAGAAAAGACCGCTAGAGATCGGCAAAGAGCCGTTATATCATCGCACCGCAAAGAAGCGTCATCTCCATGCAATTATTATGAAAAGAAAAAAAAAATTATTTTTTTCGCGAGAAGGAGAGAAAATACTGTTAGAAGATACTGAGGAGAGTGGTTGTGTTAGTTGTGTTGTGTTGCGCCCCCAAAGAATAACAGAATTATTATGCTTGTTACGACGAGAGAGACACGGCGATATATACACACAATGTGCGGCGTCGGAATCATGCGGTGAAAAAGAAGCGAGGGCGCGAGAGCGGCGATTGCACGCTCGCGCGAAGGTAAACACACCTGGTCCCTTGTCGCTCGTATAAATGACAGTGGTGGCGGCTTGCCTTGCGGAATACGGGCTCGGCCTCGCCTCGCTAAGCGGATCGTAATCGGCGATCCTACCTGGTGTCCTCTGTACCGGCGAATTCGCCGTCCTTGCAGGCGGCGGATTGGCGTTTATACTCGACGCAGGGGCGATAGTGCCGTCTGTGTACTCTACGTACTCTATATCAACAATGCACAAGAAGCTAGCGATATGGTTCAACGAGACAAGCGACCCCGCCGCTCATCGGCCCGTCACAAGTAAATCACGGCACGCGGGGCTGAGGAATGTGCGATGATGAAGAATCGAAACGCATCGATCCTTCGTTCCGGCTTTGCGCTTTCGGCCTTTGGAAGCGAACCGATTGAGTAGCGACACGAGGCTTTAATCCTTTGCACTCGGATGTCCCCTTTCAAGACTCCCCTTAAAGACTTCATCAGTGATTATACAGGGTAGACTTATGCGAGCGTAAATTTGTCAAAAATACATGTTTTCTTGGTGATATGCCACATGATATGGCGCCATTTGGGAAAATAAACAAGCAAGCCTTAGACTGTAGTTTAAGAGAAAGAGACTTTCGAAGCTGAAAGCAGATCGTATTGAAGTATCGAGCGGCACAGATCGTATGCCTGCACTAGTCAGTCAGAAAAGTGAAATTGGAAAAGTATATATTCTTTTAATAAATTTCATTTTGTGCGATTTCGTAATTTACAGTTAGAAATTTCTGACCCATTTATTTGGTTTACAGAGCAACGGCAAAGCGAAGCTGCAATGCATATCAGTGACTGTTTATGACGTTTCCGCACACGTTAGACACAAATGTAAGACATGAAATTTCGATTTTTTGTCATAAATATCTTCCTCAGTGTCTAAAGATTCATGTAAAAAAACCAAATATCATTGCAGTAAATTATTTGGTTTCAAAATTACAACTATTTAATATGACGCGATTCCTGTTTGCACATTTTCCTAAAAAGGTGCCGCCGAGTTATCGGCAAGTAAGCCGCGAGATGGCTCCGAGTGCAAAGGGTTAATATTCTCCTGATTTTAGATAAAACTCGATGTGCGACTCATAGATATTAGAGTGTCAATTAGTAATCGTTACTGTACGAGTGCATATGTACGTAAAAAATGTATGATTCATAGTTGAATGTGATTAGATCACGATGTGTGACGCGAATTGTCGGGTGTGACCACATCAGTATGTGACTCGATACCGGAACGGTTGATTAGTGACTGAATGAGAAAAGCACATCAAGGAAATACGCTGCATTTTGGGGAAAGCAAATTCCTCTTCTGACGGACGAAGGTGTCGTGTGTGCTTCCGACTTGGAAAGCGCCAATTGAAAGGAAATATAGCATTTTCTGTGACTCGATCAAACTCTCGTTAAGTATCACCGTCCGTTTTTCCTCTTAATTAACTTATTAGCGGCTGCTGATACCCAACGAGACGTTTCTTTCTCACTGAACAAAATCACTCAATATGTATAATTTTTATGTCCTTCGTTGCAAATAATTTTAATACTTATCTGAGATCTCTGTGGTAATTAAACCATTCTTTAATTAAAAATATAAATTAAAACTGTTGGCGAGATCGTCACACATCTCTCACGCGTTTGAGAGTTCTCGAAAAAATTAATTCGTTTTGCTTCACAAATCGCAAATCCATCCATCGCGTCAAGAACGAAAGGGACATTGGACGGACATTAGAAACGAGTGGAAAATGCATCGCTCACCTATCTGCTCGCCATTTTCCCCGGTCATCGTCCTCTTCTGCTCCATGATCGCCTTCTTCTGGAGCTCGCCGTGATAAGCGACGTTCGAGATGATCTTGCTATTCTGCTTGATTCTGAGGGTCTCCGGATCGTCCGCGACCTGCGTAAACTTCCCCTTCGCCTTCTCGAACTCGGCGTGGTACTTCACGTTACTCTGGATCTTCGTGTTCTCAGCGATGCGCTTCAGCTCCGGTGTCTCCGCCATCGTGGTGGCTTTGGCTTTTGGTATGTGTCTGTAATCAGAGGAAACCAATTATTCGCGTACAGAGAGCATACGCAAGAGACGCGCCGTTCGCGTCGCGACCAAGAGCGCACGGTTGAGACTTCAACGTCGCGTTTCCCGTTTCCAAGCGACACCCGGTATCCCAGGTGAGTCTCAATTTCGCGTTGGTTTCTCCGTCGCGAAAATATCCCGCCCGTCGCTCCTGTTATTTTACGACGGATTTCCCTCGCGGGCGACCTTCTCTCTCTTTCTCTCTCTCTCTCTCTCTCTCCTCTCTCTCCTCTCTCTCTCTCTCTTCGCGGCATGAAAGTTCGCTGAATGACGCGAGAGCGAACGACAAGCGGTCAACGACGTCGCTCGTTATCGTGAACATCCTTTGTACGTCGATTGCAACGCTCGCGGAACAGCGGTGAGGGCAGAGGAGGGACTCGTGCTCTCCGCGAGGATGCGGAGAAGACCGCGACTTGGAAGTTCCAGAAAGATCGGGTTTCCAGCGCCGTCGTGTACGCACAGTGTCACACACACACACACACACCTGCATGCGCACGAACGAGGAGAATCGAGCGATGCGCCTCATACGCGTCTGATAACGATATTTGCATTCTTCCTGTCATCGTCACTTTGCCTACAGCGGCGTTATCTATTGCGCGGTAGGAATTATCGTCTTACCGCGAATTCGATTATACTCGATTCGCAATATATGCGCGCGCGAATAATGATCCGCGGATGGACTCGCTGGAAATCATCGAGAGTTTCTCTCTCTCTCCCTCTCTCTCTCTCCCCCCTCTCTCTCTCCCCCTGTCTCTCCCCGTCTCCTCCGCTTCTTTCTCTCTCTTCCTGAGGATTAGTCCCGGCAGGAGCTACGTCTTTCCTTCGATTCATCTACCGACCATCAGGGTCGTCTCGTCGTTTCATCGAATAAGGTCTCTCGATTAGCGATAATTCGCAATTTGATTGATTATTATGCGATAATTAATTATGACAAATATATCGACTGACACTTCTCATTTCCGTCTTCAGCAGCTAATTTACATACGCAGCCAAGCCCCGCGACGAAAGCGATTCTGATGCTAATGTCAGACCTCTAGGAAATCTGCAAACTAATTTCTTAATTAGAAATGTTCGAGAAACCATCGTGGCTCTTGAGAGAAGAAGAGATCCTGAAAGACCGGCTGCGCGCGCAGAGAAGCAATTCCATTCATGTAACTGAATTTGAATGCATTGCCTGGGAAGAATAAGGAGCCAAGGAATCTCGGTTCGGGGCCGTAAAGAGGCATGCGTCACTCTCTGTTGCTCGGTCAATATTGTTCTAGTTATCTCGACGGAATTTTAAAGCAGCCGAATGTTGAAGACGAGCGTTTTCGGTCACGATGACAGAAATAATCCTATCGAGGACATCGTCACCACGGATTGTCGTCCGCGACTCGCTCGGTTGCACAAAAGAATATTTTCTTCCGTGCGCAGAGGTCAATTCTCGCTCGGCATGCGCGCACAATTCTGAATGCGCTGAAAACAATGTTTCGCTGGTCCAGCTAGAATTCGAAACGTTACGGCCAAGATTTTTCGCTGATTTTTGTATCTGCTAGAAAATTGTCTGCGGTAAGAACAGAATTTACAACATTCTAGCGATATCTGCAGGAAAATTTAGGCCTCGTTAGCTAAATATGAATCACTGGATTAAATGAAAATAATAATAATAAGTAAGAAAAATAATAATAAATAAAAATAATAATAATAATAATTTGACTGGACAAAGAGGTATTCTTGCTAAATTCGACAAACAATCAGTCATAAATTCTATCTCTGTCATTTATATACAAAAGATATGCAATATCGTAGTGCTTGCTAGCCATTTTAGCTATTCCAGCTAATTTCTTGCACCCAGATAATTTGCGCTACGACTACAAGATCATTTCTCTCAGCGTATCACTCGCGAATATCACAGCAGCGTTCCCTGCCTCTGCGGTCGCCGAAATTTCGCCGCCGGATGCGTGCGGTAATCGCGAATTGATACAATGATGTGACATGCTGATAATCGCGATAACGCGTCGCGTGCGTTCGCGACGCGGCAGAAACGCTGGACGCGACGTTTCCAACGTTATGCGTTTACTTGCTCCGTGAAACACGCAAACGTGCTCACTCATTTGTAAAACGCGATCCAGCGCGAACGGAAATATGTCTCTTTAGAAGCGTCTCCGACTCGGCGCGAGTTCCCGCCGTCGTTTGCTAACCGCGTGATTTCTTACGCGCGGAGCGTCCGAGACGCGCGATCAATTAGGCGAACTTGTTAATTAGCGGCTGCGAGGTGCGCGACTCACGCGTTCAGGCCGCCTCGGCCTGCGAGTTAAGCGCTCTTAAACGAGCTCTTTTAAGCGGCGATAATTCGCCCGGCGAGCGAGCGGCGCCTTCTGGCGTCGCGCGCGATATTGTGCCGGGAGAAAGAGCGACGGGGGGGGCGGGAAATTAGAATAGGGAAATTATTAATCGACCGGGCGAGTGAAATTCGATAGAAACCTTCCGGCCGGCGAGAGAGGCTGCCTCGGCGGGGCTTAATCGCGCGGCCTGCAACACGCCGCTTCGAGTCCGGTACCTACTTATCGAGAAGTAGAAATCGCCGCGCGAGCGCATATAATTACACGCACCGAGCACTGCATGCACCGTATGCACCGCGAGAGTGACACGCGGCGAGAATGCGCAGTTTCGCCGGTAAAAGTAAACCGTACGACAAATCCCGGCTCGAGCGGGCGCTCGACGGGGCGAGTGGGCGGCGGGGAAGGGGTGGTGACGGTCTGTTTAAACTTTGTATCTCTGGGGTAGGAAAGAACAGAACCCTCCCCGCGCTTGTTGTCGTGATCCAAGAGCGAGTCCTGTCGGACCTAGGGATGCAACGATAAATCGATAATATCGAAATGTCGATATATCGAGAGACAAATATCCAATATTTATCGATATCTTTTTGTCTCCGATAAAACCGACATATCGATATGAATTTTACTGATTTTCGTATTTTTCAGTTACAGCTCTGCGGGCCTATCACGGTTCTACGACCGACATGAAAATTACAAAAATGAATGAATTCACTAGAATATAATATTATGCAATTGTCCGATATCTAGTTGATTAAAATTTAATAGATCTCCTGCTCCGTGTATGTGGTGATCTCCGGCAAATGACTGCGGTTCATTGTATATTTTCTAACAAGAATACGACAATAAATTATATGAAGATAAAAATTTTGAAAAGATCTTTTCAAATTTTTCGTGCATACCCTTTACATGCGTACCCCTGTGATGTATATACATCTTTTTATATAAATATCGAGATTTTTCAAAATTATCGATATTGTCGTCATCGATATTGTCCTGAATGACGATAATATCGTTACCGGTATTTCGAGAAATCGTTGCATCCCTAGTCGGAGCGCGAGGCTGCAAAGGCGAGAGGTGCGCGCGTCGGTCGTTTTCAATGCCGCGAAAGCGTCGCGCGCGCGCACCTGCTAACGGTCGTGTGACTTTTTCCTGCGGAGGCGGAAAAGTGAGCAGTCCCGTGCGAATTGCACGACCGCAGTGCGCAGATAACTCGGCGAATAACGCTGGAAACGCGCGGCTTTTCATACGAAATTGTTTACTCGCTGCGAAAAAGTCGCATGAACGTCGGTGCGATTCTTTCGCGTGGGCGCGGCGGCCGGCATAATAGCCTTCGCATTCGGTACGAGCTCACTGCCGTACTGCCGTTTTCTAATTACACAAATTCTTGTCGGGAGACGCTAAGCTGCCGCTGCGGCAGTTTTCGCGAGCTCGTCGCTTGCGCTTCGAAAAATCAACGAGTAATGAATCAGCGGCGCGGCGTGCAACTAAAAAAAAAAAAAGGAAAGAAAAGAAAAAGAAAAGAGAGAAAGACAAAATGGAAGGAAAATAAATTAATATCCCGTAAAACAAGAGAAAAATAAAAGAAGAAAGGAGAAAAAAAACAGAGAAGAGAGAGAGAGAGAGAGAGAAGGAAGAAAAGACGCGCAGAACTTTTCACGTGGAACCGTTGACTCTCTTCGCGTTCCCGCTCCCAGAAAAACAGAACTTACACGATCGCCTTGACGATACGAAGATGACGGGGAGCAAAAGCGGGGAGTGTTGCCGGGCCTTCCGAAGCAAAGTGGCATTTAAATACACGGGCGTACACGGTCGTAATCGAGATTTGTGTCACGACTTCGTTTCCCATATACGGTGTCGGGCGCGCGCGTGCACACGCGTGTCTTCTCGCCCGGTAATTGTGCGGCGCGCGGTTATTACGTAATGTTACGCCGTGTGCGCGTAGCCATGTGTACGAATAATAGAGTCGGGCGCGCGCGCGCGGCTGCGTGAGCCTTTTTGTCCGGACGAAACGAGGGATCACGCGATAGTCATTGTTGCAAGCCCGACGGCAGAGGAAAAATTACCTCGCCGACCGGCCGCGCTCTGTCGTGCGCGTGCACCTTACCTCGAGTCCCTCGAATTCAACGAAGAAAATACGCGGACGTGGATGAGGGAGGAGGAGGAGGAGGAGGTGGCGAGGGGGAAAATCGCCGGCGGACAAAGAAAATCGGGAGACAATGCGCGCTCTTCCTCACCGCTGGCGCTCGGGGACTTGCGCGCACTTGCGCGCTCGTTGCAACAAGGGAGCGCGGCCGAGAATGCACAATGGTGGATTGATAAGGCGCGATAAGGGACAAGAAGTCTGTCGCTTCCTGAGAAGTGCCTGCCCGCCGCGGGGTAACACCGCCTGGCGAGGGAGAATCCGAAGAAACCAGCGCGGAACGCCACCTTCTGAACACCTGACAAGTAAACCTCGGGGAACGTCAGACGCCGATTTGTTTCCAATTTTTTATAGTTAATTTTTATGCCAAAGTATGAAGAAATCTGTGGTCAATTTTAGCTTAAATTAATTTTTCCAATTTTTTCGAAATTTTTCAAATTTTGCACAAGTACACTATTTTATATATATATATATATATATATATTTAAAACAATATTTCTT